CGGGCCTGCGCCGCCTGAGGCCGGAGCTGCCCGGCGCTGCCCTCCCGTGGGTGTCCTGTGCCCTCCCTCAGTTCGGCCTGCCTTCCCCCGCCTGTCCCGGTCCCCCCTCAGCCCTTCCCGCCGGCGTTGGCCTCTGTGCCCCGTCCCCTCGCCATCGTCTGGCATTGACCTCACCGTGTGTTGCCGCACCCCGGTGCTCCCTGATTCCCCACCCCGCCTTCTGTGCCCCTCCGCACCCCTGCCGCATCAGGTACGCGCTCCATTCACCACCCTGTTGTCCCAAAAGCGGGGTTCGTTCACCCGGTGTGTGATACACCAATATACACACAGGGCGGAGGTGTTTCATTTCACGTCTGTGCAGAGTTGCGTGCTAGCGTGTTCCTTTCCCCACCTGTGCACGCTTCAGTCTGATCCCAGTCTTTGGCATCCACCCCCGAACCCTGTGCACCCTTTCCCCCCAAACAACTCGGGTGCAAACTTGGGGCAGGGAAGGGACTCTGCTCCCACCCAGTCCCTGGGAGTCTTCTCTGTTCTTGTCCCTGACTCTGCTGCTCTGCCCAGTGTCCCGCCTGCACTGTGAGAGTGAGTCCTTCAAGATGGACCTCATCCTAGATGTGAACATCCAGATCTACCCTGTGGACCTTGGTAAGCCCTCAGGCTGCTAGTCCAGAGCCTACCAGGCCTGAGCCAGTGTCAGCTTGGGTGAGCAAGGTTAGAGAGGCACGTGCTGGTGCTCGGAGGAGGGAGACTGAATTTGTTGTGAACAGGGAATGAGCTGTGTAAGACTTCCGTGGGCTCTTGTGCTGTACTCAGGTCACAGGAGGTTCTGAACACTCTCAGCATCCTGGGACTGAGCTGGAATCTGGTTTGCCTCACTATATTTGCCTGGGCTCATCTCTGGCCTGTTCTCCAGAGATGCTGTCTAGTGAAGCTGCCTTATCTGGTAGCAACCAAGCTGTAAAGCAGACCTTTTGAAATGAGCTTCTGTGGGTGAATATACTAAATGGGTGGGAAAAGAGAGTTTTACCGTTAATGAAGTACAGAAGGGCTGGAACTGGTACTGCAGCATCTCACGTACCTGCCCAGGGTCCAGCCAAGCCGTCTGGGGCTCTCCCCACGAATTTCTTGCTGTGTCCCGTGAAAACACGAGTGGTGGTACCCAGGTGGCTCTGGTCTCCTCCATGGTGGCGACCAATGTCTGTGGGGAATGGGGAGACAGAGGATTCAGTGTGATCTCTTCCTTGTTCCCCACAATCCTGTTGGAGGACTGAAGGCAGGGACAGGGTTTGTGCTAAACCTGCCAGGGCAGCTCCTTTCCACCACCCTGAGATCTGCCCTCTCCTCCCAGGGGACAAATTCCGCTTGGTCATCGCCAGCACCTTGTATGAGGACGGCACCCTGGATGATGGTGAATATAACCCCACGGACGACAGGCCATCCAGGTATGGAAGTGTAGCCAGAATGCACGTGGGGGTGGACAAAGGAAAAGGTGAAGTGCTGAGGGTCTGTGGGGTACCTTCTGCCAAAGGATGCTCAGCTGGGGGAACACCCAGATTTGACTCTTCACTGAACTCAGCCTTCCTGTTGCAGGGCAGACCAGTTTGAGTACGTGATGTACGGCAAGGTGTACAGGATTGAAGGAGATGAGACCTCCACGGAGGCAGCCACGCGCCTGTGAGTGCCTGTCAGCAGGAGTTGGGGGGGATGCGGTGCCCTGGGGTGATGTGGGGGAGGAACTGGGATCTCAGCCTGGGTCTCCTGTGAGATTCCCCGCTCTCAGTGCGCCTCTCCTCCCACGCCAGCTCTGCCTACGTGTCCTACGGGGGACTGCTCATGCGGCTGCAGGGAGATGCAAACAACCTGCATGGGTTTGAAGTGGACTCTCGAGTTTACCTGCTGATGAAGAAGCTGGCCTTCTAGGAGACCTCCTGCCTCTGTTAACTACCCCAGAGGTGTTCTGCTGGGGAGCAAACAGGAGCCCTGTGACCCCAAATCCTGCCCCAGCACCCATGCTGCCCTGTTCCTCTGGAGCTGGGGAGGAGGGAGCAGTCCCCCTCCTAATCCTGGTCTCTTCTGACTCCTGTTGGGATCCACAGCCACCTCTTGTATGGAGAGAGGCGCCTGACAGCCAAGTGGAGACTGTGCTGAGTGCTCTGCAGTCCTCCCTGCTGGGCATCTCCTCACTTCTGCCTTCCTGTGCTTCAAAAGCAGGCTCAGCCCTGGCCCTGGCGAGGAGCAGCTGGACTGGGACAGCCACCTGTCTGCCTTGGTGCTGGGGACCACTTCCTAAGGAGCCATGCTGAGGCAGGGCAGGCTTGTTCTTGATTAAACTAGGACTTGTTTTCTAGATCTGACTCTGCTGTCTGAGAGGTGAGGCTGGCAGGGAGCAGGTATGCCTGCATGGGGGGCAAAGGGGGCCCACACCACTTTCCCAAAGGATAGGCAGTCCAAACTTGCCTTCAGCTTTTCTCTGCCACCCCTCTGGGCACGGTGCCTGGTGTGGCGAGGGAGAGGCAGGTGGGTGCAGGGGGCAAAGAGTGGTAGCTCACGTCCCTGAGTGGGGGCCGATGCTCGCCAGCCAGTCTGCACTGCAGAGCTGGTGGAGCCGGGCACTGGGGAGAGACTCTGAGCACATCCCCGAGGGGCTGCCTCTTACCGAGGCCCCTGGGGGTGTCCAGTCCCCCTGCCAGGGCCGCAGCAAGGTTTGAAAAGGAGGATGCAAACGAATCTTTAGAAAAATAGTTCTTTAATTGTAAAGCATTCACAGTAGAGGTGCCTGCCTGAGTGGGAGCAAGGCCTGTGCCTGCTGGCACACGGGTGTTGCTGCTGTCTGCCTCCGTGGGCTGTGCGATCGCCTAAGGCTGGAGGAAGAGGAGCCAACCCTTTTTGTGCAGGCAGGTTCCTGGGCACCGAGAGCACAGCTCAGTGTCCGGCAGGATTGCCCTGACCTAGGATCGAGGGTGAACCCTGTGCGCAGCCTCACCGGGTCCTGCACCAAGGGTCCCTACCACCCCCCTGGCCTTGCTTGCACAAGTCCTTGGCCAGGTCATGGAAGAAGAAGCGCAGCTTGCCCTGCACCAGCTGTCGGTAGGTGAGGAAGATGCTGGTGATGTGGGTCTGCTCCTTGGAGCGTGGGGAGCAGCCCTGCTCCCAGGGTCCTGCCTGAAGGGCGAGAGTGGGACAAGAGGGGTGACAAATGCTGTTGTACCCAGCCCAGTGCAGCTGACACCTGTGCCAGGGTGCTCTGGCTCACTTGGGGAGGTCTCACCTCCCAGCTGAAGGTCTGCAGGAGCAGGAGGAAGAAGTTGGCGTGTTGGTAAAGCTGGCTCAGCTGCCTGGTCCCGCAATCCTCGGTCACCTGGCCCTGGGCCCCTGCCACAGCACCCACCAGCAGTGCCAAGTCACACAGGATCTCCTGCCACTTGGTCTCGTGCTGGGGGAGCAGGCAGTGAGTAGGCTGACCCCCGGGACTGATTCATTCCTATGCCCACCCTAGGTCTGGATGGGGTTTTCCACCCCCCTGTGCCACTAGGTACACCCACAAGAATCTTGTTTGGCATTTCTGGTGCCTGTGTGAACCCGGGGGTTCCTTCTCCAGCCCTGTGGGCACCCTGGTGCCAGCACTGTCCTCCCAGCCCCTCTCACCGGTTTGGATTTCCACTGCTGGAGGCTGAGGTCCACCAAGGGCAGCACCACAGTGTAGTTGAGTGCTGGCAGTGCCTGGCACTGGCCCTAGGGGGAAGAGGGGATGCTGAGGTGAGATACCAGGAGCTGTGCCTGTTCCAGGCCTTGGGTTTGGGGGGGGAACTGTATCCTCACCGCTCTGTTCTCCATGTCCTTGGCCTCCCTGATGTACTTCTGAATGAGTCTGTTGTCGCAGACCAGCTGTGTTGGGCCGGCATGGCCCTCTTCCATGTGCAGGAGGAAGGATGTGAGGAGGAGCAGTCCTGGGGGAGACAGGGTTACCTTGGGCACTGTGCCACCCTCCCTGGGCAGCTCCAGCCCAAGGCCATGCCTGCAGTGGCAAACCCTCACCCCAGCCCAGTGGTGACCTTGATGGCCCCGTGGTGGGGGCACAGGGGGAGGTCTAGGGGGGCTGAGGAGGGCCTGGCGCTGCCCTCCGGTCAGTCAGCACAGCTGCCTGGTGCTTGCTGGGGAGAACCGGTGTTTCTGTGCCGAGGGGGCCGCACAGCCATGTCTCTGCCAGGTTTTTTGGCTCTGCTCCAGGCTGGGCTGCAGACAGGGAGCAGAGCCACGCTCCCTGCGCAAACCGGGGCCAGCCCTCCCGATCTGTGCCAGGAGCAGCTCCGGGTGTCACGTGCGCTTCGGGGAATCCCTGCTTGTAGCATCCCGCAGCGTGCGTCTGCTCCTCGCTGCTGCTCCGGCCAAGGGCTTGCCTGCTGGCACTGCCTTCCCCAGCACCACTGGCATGCTGCTGGCCTGGGCACCTCTCAGCCGGGCGGCTGCTGTGCCTGATGACTGCCCATCCTGGCAACAGGCATCTCCTCTCCAAAGGCTGGCTGTGCATCTACCTGCCTCGGCACTACACCTGTCCCCAAAAGCCCTCGGCACAGCATCTTTCC